GTTTGAAGGGGGCAGCATCTTGCCCAGAGTCTTTACGAAAACAGTATCTTTGGATTGATTTTTGTATCACGGATTGGGTTAGCTGGCTGAGAGATGATGCATTTCAGCATGAACTATTTATCTGTCTTAGATTATCGTTTTTTGTGGTTATATTATGTCTATGTATTTACTGCTTATCCAATGCCATATATGCTGATAAATAATTCGGCTCTGGAATTGGTTCAGGTACTAATTTGATTGTCCTAAGAGTAGAATTTGTTATTGATGGGACGAACCAAAAGAAGTAACCCTATGGACCCTCATGCACAGAGGGCAAAAGGTTTTCAGGGAAGGTGCAAGGTTCTAATTAGTTTGTTCTGATGGCATCTATTTGAATTAGGTTGATGTGGTAATTCTTTTTTTACAAGAATTAATCTAAGTCTTTATGGTTTTTGTTGTGTGTTTTACAATACTAGTCTACCAATTTCCTTCTAAGATTTTCTATTGGTGCCCAGGTGGTGGCAGCTCATTCATCACTGTTGTCATCACTGCCAGTCCTTGTTTACCAACGGCATATAATATAGATATAGTGCTTCTGGCTTCTGCCTGAAATTAGATTTAAGAGTGAAACTTAGTATTGCTGCTTCCATCATAATAGCTACGATAAAAATTAACCATTTAGATATTTGTACCTATTTTATTTTGCTCATTCTTGATAGGATTTTTTTTTTTTTTTTAACTAAAAGTGCATATTGGTGGTGCTTTTTTCCCTTTATTTCATTCTACTTTTTTTTTCCCTTTTCAGGGGCAAAGGATAGTACAGTCTCTCAGCAAGTCAACGTTGAACCCAAAGCTTCCTTCCCTTCCTTCTCTTCCAAAATACATAAACACCACAAACTACAGTGATATGTATTATGTTTCCTACTTCTACAATCCAATTATCATTGTCTCGTTCGTATGTTTTGGTTTGGATGTGCAGTGAAAGATGAGGAAGCACCAGCTCTTGAAGATGCTGAAGTTCTTGATGAGGTGGAAGAAAATAAGAAACGCCACTTGAATGTTGTGTTCATTGGTCATGTTGGTAGGTTTTTCTACTTATTGTTTAAATTAAAAGTGGGGGTTTTTCATTTTTATGTCCTTTATTATTCTCTATGAACTGGTTTGTTCAAAGGCCAAATAAAAGGGAGAAATGTGTTTCCCATTGTTGTTTATTTGCTTTTTTGTTTGAGTTCAGGGATTGGTTGACTAGATGACACATAGAAATAATTTAATGGTTTGGCATTTTCTAAGATCCATTGTGGAGTTGACTGTGTTAATTGTTTCCTAGAACATATTGTATACATGCTTGAATGATTAAAGACTTTCAAAATGTTAAGTTAAAATCTTATGGTAGAAAAAAAAAAAACTTATGGTTTCCTGTTTCTATTTAGTATATACATACTTTTGAGAAGTTTCAAGCTTTCTTTCTTGGATATTACATGTTTATTTTATGAAAAGGTGTTTTTAGTTTGTTTAAAGTTTCAACATTTTCAATTTGGCAACTTTGTTTTATTTGGCATCATAAGGGACAATTGTTGGTCAAAGTGAGGAATGTTGGCTCTTTTTAATCACACATGTCGATGGTCCTATCTCCCTAGACTTTTCATCCAAATGGTATGTTTTGGCTTTGTTTTGCAATTGGTTTTAAGATGCTGGGAAGTCAACAATTGGAGGACAGATACTCTTCCTTAGTGGTCAGGTTTCCAAAAATATGAGAAAGAAGCAAAAGACAAAAGTAGAGAAAGCTTGTGAGACTTTACATTATTTCTTTATTCTTTACATGGAAAATAGATGCTTTTACTACGTTACTTATAAACTATTTGCCTAAGAGAATGATAATGCAACACAAATCAATTTGAAAAATGGTTTCTTGTCCTATGTTACTTTACATTCTTGTTCTTTATATACCATGTAACCATTCAAGGCAACATATTGTTTTTATTCTGTTTCTCGCTATTAAAAGGTTGTTTGTTTTGATATGCTTGTTTTGCATGCCAAGAGAATCATATATCCAATGAGGAACTTGATTTTAGAAGTTAGGGTAGGATTATACTGGTTTATTCTGGTATTGCTAATATATGTTTTCTTATGTGAACTTAAATGTATAAATTTGATCCCTGATGCTATCTATGTTGAAAATAATTGCTAGCATGGAACAAAATAATTTTGGGTAAAATCTTTTGTAAAGAATAATTTAGTGTGATATTGAATCAGCGATGACTAGACCCAAACCATTGATCAAATCTTAAGACAATTTTGATATGGTAAGGATCAGATTGTTGGCTGTTGCTAAGAGTTAAGAAGCTATAAAAATGGTTCTATTTCCAGCCTTAAACTGTAGCATTTCTTTTACAAGTTGTTGAGGAGAGTGGAGGGTCTTTTGCTTCCTTTTAAAATTTTTAATTACATTTTGCTTTGGATGGTTAGACAGAGGTTGTGGATGGGAATAAAAGTATGTTTTAAGTTTCATTGGTTGAAAACTTGAAATTGGGATCCTCTTGATTCAAATTCTTTAATTTGTGGATTTTCGGATCAGAACTGCTGTTTGGAGGGATTGCTTTCAAGTTTTGAAGTCATTTTTGAATTTTTCACAAGTTTTGAATGACCAATGGATTTCAAAGTGCCTAAAAAATTCTGAATATATTCTCTCTATCCTATCAAATGCCAATAGAAGTTGCTCTCAAAATTTTTGGTTCTGTTTCCTGTTAAAGTTTGTTTGATTCAGCATCACATCAAGCATTCTTGCGATTGTTAAATGTTTAATGTGCTAGACAATTAAGAGTCTTGGCTCTTGCATTGTTTGACCATAATTGTCTTCTCTGTTAGGTGTATGGCATATCTTATGGACTCTAATGAAGAGGAGAAAATTAAGGTACTATAAGATGTAGTAACCATGTTTACATTTTTGGATTCCATATTGTTGCTATTTTAAAGAAAAAAATGGTTGCAACTTTTTTTTTCCTGATGCATGTCATTGCTCTTTGTTATTTGCACAATCTCACACGATTGTAGGGTATTACTGTGGAAGTTAGAAGAGCACGCTTTGAGACTGAAAATACTAGGTTTGCCATTTTGGATGCACCGGTAAGCAATTATTTTGAAGCTAAAACACCATGATTTTGTATTTTTTAAATGATTTCCTGTCTTCATTATTTAATTTTTGTTTGATAAGGTTATAAGTTTTATCTAGTTTATTGCTTTTGTACATCTGTATTTTGTGAATTATGATATGATTCTATGAGGTTGAAAAAGATGAGGGATAGATGGGAGGGATAGTTTCTAATTAATGCTTAATAAGCTGTACAATCTCAGGCTAATGTAAAAGTGAACTATGTGATGGTTTCTAGTTCTATCAAATGAAACTCTCCTTCTTCATGCAAGCAGTCTTGCAAAACACAGTAGGCAGACTAGCACCCAGTGCCCAGGAGCACCCAGGTGCAGCTAGATGCGTCTGGATGTTTTGCCTTAAAATTTTTTTTTTTAAATGTCAGAAAAGTCGTTAAAAAATGGGAGAAAAATCAGAAATTGAAAAATTTTGAAAATTTAAGGGCTACACGGCATGTTTGTGAAACTTAAAGGACTAAACTGCCAAAAATAACATCGAAACGCAGCTAATCATTTAACTTGGTTTAATTCAATGATTAGTCTATTAACTATCATTCTATTTTATTTTAGTCTAGAAAGTTAGTTTTTTTTTTTAAATGGTTTATAAACTTTGTAAAATATTTTAGAATAGTTTACTGTACAAAACTTCCATTTATTTTAAAAGAAAAAAAATAATTAAATCAAAATTAAAATAGAGTAGTTCCAACTAGTAAAGCAGTTTACAACAGACTGTGCAAGCTATTAAAGCATGCCAATAATTGTGGTTTCTATTACAAGGAAGAATTTTCAAAAAGGAAAGTTGAAGTAGCATGTGATAAAGGTTATAGTCTATCAAACAGTGAAAAAGAACTTATTATCCTCACAAAGTTGGTTTCATTTCAAAATTAATTTTAAGGAGTAAAAATTCACAAAAGAAGTTAAAAATTAATTTGACCAAATGAAGTAAAATTACTACTAGAAAGTTAACAAAGTAGATTAAACTGAAATAAAAGTAAAAAATAGTATTGGATCTGAAAGTATCTAAAAATAATAGACAAAACAAAAAGAAAAAGTTAACTAGACTATTTATTAAATTAAGCCCATTTCACTCGGCACAACCTTCTTTGACCTTTGGGAATTGGATCGGGTCTGGTTTGCAGGTCAGATTTGGGCCACAGCGCGTGAGGTTCTGCCACCTTTCTGACTAGAACTCCGGCAGAGTAGCTCACCGGGGCCCTCTGAGAAAGTTTCTGATGTTGCGTCTTGGATTATGGCACAATTTTGTTGCAGATCACTGTTCACCTGGGCAGTCCTAGGGATGAGGTGGTCTTTTGAGATGTGACAGCTTAGCTACTTATGATTCTAAATACTTATCAAGTTTGTGCAAGCGAACAAGTTTGTAATCTAAATGATGGAGTTATGTACAGTACTGATGTAGGGAAGTTGTGAAGCTGTTTACAGAATAAGATTCTCAGCTCTTGTATTCTTTGGCCATAATTTTTTGTGTTCTGAATGTATATTTCCCATCAATTTTGCTTCCGTATATGATTTAACTGAGTTTTGGGTTGTTTGTTCAGGGTCACAAGAGTTATGTCCCAAATATGATCAGTGGAGCAGCTCAAGCAGATATTGCTGTTCTGGTGAGTTAGGCACCACTTCACTGCATTTGTTTTGCACAAGTCCCATTTTTTGAATTTTTAATTCATTCTCCTTCTCTGTCTTGTTCTCTATCTGACTGTCATAATTAGGTTATTTCTGCCCGTAAAGGGGAATTCAAAACTGGATATGAGAGGGCTGGGCAAACCCGTGAACATGTTCAGCTTGCAAAAACTTTGGGCTTATCTAAGCTGTTTGTGATTGTGAACAAAATGGATAATCCCACTGTTAACTGGTTAAGAGAAAGGTGCTGTTCCTGAATTAAGTTAAGTTTATGCTTATATATGCTGTTTTATTTCTGTGTTCCTATTCTTCC